TACGTTCCTCTGAAACGTCGGTTAATGCAATATCTACACGGAGCCACATCCCAGAAGACGGCATTCTTCATAACTCATTCTTCACTGATGATCCTAGCTTTCAAAGCTATATAGTGTGAGCTGCTGATAGCGTCTTTAAATAAATTATAAATAAATGTTAGAAATATAAGAATAATTTAGTTACGCCCTTATGTAGTCGACCCCGTTCTAACACATCAATATTGTCAATAATTAAATCTGTCTGTTAACTTTTGATATACGACACCAAATTTCATGTAGATCGATCATATGATTTGGGAGTTTGAACATAAGAACAGGAGAACACGACAGCCCTGAAAATTACTGTTCCACTAAAGAACGCTTAATGAGCAAAATGTAGTATGTTTTGTGACAACGGGTGCACGTTACTGAATCCTTCATAACAGCAGACTATTCAGCACAATGTAGCGGGTAACTACAAGTATGTTTAAAATAGCACCGGTGAAGAGTCGAAAAGAGGTGGTCTTCCAACATGGGGCTTGAGCGACGGTTCCCATCATGCAGCATAAGATTAATTTGTTACGATATGTGCCCATACGCTTACGACAGATGAAGAAACAAGACAGCGGAAATAGTTACAAAATGAGGGGTTTCACATTTCAGACCCGTCAGAATATTGTTGCGGTGACGAAAACAAGAAGAATGAGATAGAACGAACACGTAGCATGCACGGAGAAAGAAACAAGAGCTTAATTGCTGCTAGAAAACCTCAAAGAAGGAACAACTTCTAAGGCCCTGGCGTAGATGCAGAATAATATTAAAACAGACATTGGAGATGAGACATGATGATGCCAAGTGGAGTGCATTAGTTCAGGATAGAGATTTTACTCAATAGTTTGGTTATATAACAGGAAATTTGGTGACCAGCTGAATAAGACTGCGTGCACTGTTATTTAAATCAAATGTCATCTCTGTCCCTTACAGGGACAGTGCAGTGGCAGGGAGCCAAGCAAGCCATGTACACGGATAGAACCGTGCCAACAACCAGAATATGAATTTTCAGCAATGTCATTTCTACATTCTAGCGTTTAATTCGACCCGGCAGTTCGTGTTGTGACTACCGCAGAGAATTCTCACGGCTCCAGTCGCGGTGGCTAGAGATCCGTGTGTCATGCTTTTCCTTAGTCCCACCAGGCGAAGATCGGATTATGCTAAAGGCACAAATGATCAATACACACGCACATATACGTTACTTTATTAATAATATAATCAATTTCACAAAATTTTTCGGTCATACGGCCATTATCAGGTGAACATACAGATAACATCATATGAAAACCATCAAAAAATATACGAATCACATCACTTCCCATAGATCATTATGCCAAGCTATGTTATAAGCCGGATTCGCCTTGAATGTATGAATTAAAACATTAAAGGAGGGTTTTCACGCCAATATATAAAATAAATTATTAAAACAATACGACTCTCTCACTGAGTACATATTTTAGGGTCCAAATAAATCTTATGTATAATCCGTGTCATGCATTATCATATGAAGCGGAGAGGCCATATTACATGCTATTTCTTTCAACAGAGAATGATATGAAATTACATTTTTAATAGTCCATTTGTTTGGTGTACCTCTGGGGTTTCCAACAAGCTCCTGCATTTTAGTTACATGGGTCGCCTGGATGTGTCGTTAAGTTGTAGCTTGTATATGAAATCTTACTATCGTTTTTCTTGTTATCCAGTGATCTTTAAATTATCGAAATATCCCAAGTTCCATTCGCTTTGTTCATGTTTCTGGTAAACAGCTTTTCGCTATTACCAGTTGTTGCCAATTTTATGTTGGATATTAGCATGTCAGCGCAGAAAAATTGGCTTTACAATTTCAGAAATTATTTTTGTTGCTCGTGGTGGCTACTTACACTCTCAAAGTTCTTAGACTCATATTTTTATCGCCTTTTGAATACAATTATTGTATGGCAGGCAGAATAAAGTAAGCTGTGTTCCTGTACTAAAATGACCTGTCTTTGGAACTCCACATATATATAACTGGAGTATGGAATTGTATGAGGCTCCATGAATATCTGGCCTGTGTTCTTCTATTGATCTTTGCACAAACAGAATGCAACCGCTTCCTTCTACATCCCTCTCTATTCACCATTCATAATCATCACACTTCGTATCAGGCCTCATGATCTCAGCAGCCGATGTTCTGAAGTCTTTACACGGCTACCATGCCAATGTGACGTCTGATTCTCAAATCTCCTCTGATTTCAAAAGAAACTACTGAAAAGAAGCCGGGCTGTTTATGTTAACATCTAAATACCTCCACAAGAATTTCTGTAAAGAGGTTTGTAGCCCACGTTTACGTGCACAGACAGACTAGACAGAATTATTTCTTGCTTATACAAACTGGTGATATATTTTTGGTGCAAGATGTCCAAGATAAGATATTTCGCTACCTGAAAGTTTCGAAACAAACTCAAGTTGAACATCAGTCATGTTTCCAAGTTTCATAGTACAAGGAAATTGTCCATAAACAATGGCAATGGTACACAGCTTTCTTGTGAAAGGAATATGCTCATTTATATCGGCCTCCGTATTTGTCTTTTAAAATTTACATGAATATTTCCCTCCTACTTAAACACTTTAGCTCGCTCATTAAAAGTATGAAGATAGACCGTAAATATTCCTATAGGTTTTGTGTGAATATTGTTTTGAACGCTAAAACTTTAACTTTGGCGACAGAACGAAATTCTGTGGCTGTGCTTTATAACTTTCGGAACCGCAATCGCCCTGCTTTTATATAAATTCTGTCTGCTTTGACTTCATTTTGTGTCTGTTCTTGTTCACAGGCCGATAAAGTGAAAGACTGAGCACGCTCGATCCTTCTGACGACAGGATTCCAAGGAAACTGCTGATAAATCAATAAGGACTAGACACATCATTTCCAATTAGAAGATTTGCTTCAGCGGCACTAAAGAAGGGAAGAACGGCGACTACTGCAAACTGACTTCAGTGTCTGAACATTTGGCTGCACTTTCTTACATCAATCAACACAGTTCATCGTGAAACATAAAAATATTCACCGTCCACCCCAAAAGTTGGGTCACATTTCCACGAACGAACCGAAGTACTCGTATGAAGATCTTCGGCATGCCATCAAGAGAAGCTATTGAGTGTCTAAAATATACTTGAAGGCGCGTCACCATCAGATGTTGAGATGGATCCTTATGTTATCAGTGTAAATATTTCCTTGGTATCTCTGAAATTACAGAGAATCTTTCAACACAATCCTTTTACTGCGCTTCCTCCGCTAAGGGTTTAGACAACGGATGCACGAAACTGACCACTCATTTCTGTATCCGACCTAAGTTTAGCATGTGTGCAGTTTTATCTCCAATCCCCTTAATCGGCCTTATGTGTAATTTTAAGACATAGAAGTAATTTCAATTATTTTATTTATTTATTTATTTATGGGTTATTTAACGACGCTGTCAGTAGCTCCAACGATATGAGGTCGCATGATTCCATACACACATAACAAACTGAAAAGGATGTTGAAAGAAGCGGCCAAAGCCTAATTAGATGTTCTATTCCGGTATTTTCTCGGAGGAACTAAGGAAAACCAAGAAACGTGTAAGGATCCCCGGTTTTCTAGCCAAGATTTGAATCAGGAACTTCCTCAATAAGATGCCGGAGAGCTGCTAACTCGACCGTGAAGTTTGGTAACTTTGCAGTATCATTATCATTATCACTATCATCATCATCGACGTATTTAACGACAAAGTAATGATTGCTACAGACATACGTACAGCGTGGCATGAGAAATGGCGGCTTGGTCATGAACACTGCAGGACACGAAAACCAAGGGGCTGTCTGGGAAGGCACGACTTTCGGAGCGGCATATTTCACAAAATCGTTTATATTAGACTCTTTGTTAAATAAAAATTAATTTATGCCGGCCTTTTGTCCATATCGTGGCTACTAATTGGCAGTAATCTAAACACATTACGTAACAAAGTAACTATCTTACAAATGTTTTATTAATCACGACACAAACAATAATTTTAATCACAGTGTCAAGGAATTTCATGTCATGAATTGTTGCGCAGTTTTCACAAAGCTGGTTTACCTTTAACTGGGGAGGGGAGGCGGTTTCCTCATCTTCTGGGCGACATTTATGCTTGTGTCGGCCCTGAAGGATGTGTAAGAAAGCGGCAGTGGCTTACTTTAATGCAGAATGCCCCCGCGTGAGGGATGTTAACCACTAGAAAGCAATGTTCTGTAGTTACAGCAGAATGGCTCGCCTCTCCCAAACACGTACCAGCAGTTTTAAATATTGCACTTCCTTCCCCCGGCTGCTGCTGCTGCTGCTACCTAGCGGTAAATTCCTTCCATTGATTTCACATTTTCTTTAATGTGCGCAGACATCAGCCAGTGATACTGAATCTGGTTATTCAACGCGAGCAACGGATTCCATTTGTTAATCTTTATTAAAATGAAGATTTTGGTCGCTGTTGCGGTCTCCAAGGAGCGTGGCGGTAAGACACTCGTGTCTGCTGTCACGTGATCCCCGTGTAGTGGTCTGCACTGACAAAGAGAAGACTCCAACTTTCAAGCATATACCTTCGACTTAAATAAACGCTTATAGTTTTCACAATCAGCAATAAAGCGGACATCTTCTAGTCCGGGTCAATTCTGCTTTCTACATTATACGTTTAGAACATACATGACGATATCTCAACACGTCCCAGTTGTTTGGGATTGTCCTAGAGACCCACGTTAATAAGGAACTCCTTATACGTAAGAGAATTACAGTTATAACATGTACTATCAACACAGCCTGCAGAAAAATGAGCTTTCCCCTAAAAGGTTTCGAATGTGGGCTCACAGTGCTTCTCTTGCCCTGAATATCAGCACGATCCCAACGTGCACTTATAGAGAATGCCCCGATGAACACAACCTGAATTAACACACACTTTCATTTATAACGATCTCGAGGTACTCACATGGGGCTCCTCTCGTCCGGAATGTCCCTGTTGCTAGGCAATCCGTCGCTGGCCTGCTGATTGAACTTGTTCCTCAGGTACGGATCCTCCCCTGCCTTCAACCCTCCACGCTCCACATAGCCCTTCTCATCGAAGTAATTCCACTTGACCCGAGGGTCTGTGTCGGTGGCTGCTATCGATGCTTGAGGCGGGGACAAAGCTACCGGCAGCGCGTCCTCCAGGGCGGCTGTAGCAGACTCCTTCAGGCGCAATGCGCGATTCTCCTCAGGCATCTACAAAAATGAAGTCTTCGTCAGTCCTTCCCAATGGTGGCCCATTCTACTAACGTCAATTAAGGAGACTCTGGCCTCCAGATATGCACAGCCATAAACAATTTTTCCCTGCATATTATATTGAATCTTTTTTTTGCCTTAAAGATTCATCTCTTATGTCATAATCATATATGATGTTTGAAAAAAAGGATGAATTCCATTTAAGCTTCATAAAAGAGATGAGTTATGCTGGTCCAACACAAAAACGAAATTCCCTGAAGTCTTCCCATGCCAATATACTCATAATCATAACTTAATTTCATACGACGCTAAATAACATTTTATGCCGATAAATCGCCATTAGTTTCCCAACAAATCAACAATCCATCATTTTAATACGGTAAAACTGAAGTAATAAACTGAAAAATTCAAAGACTGGCACAAAAAATCACGTTTGCGTTACTGAAAAACTGCTCCCATCTCAGAAACTTTCTGGCAACTCAATATCTCAAGCTATGATTTAAGTTGTACGTAGGCGGGCATTAAATATGGATTTTCTGTCTACAGACTGACCTTACAGACACACAGACATCACCCAGCATGCTTAGGGCGAGAGAAAATATGAGCGAAACGGACACACTGTGGTTGGAAAATCTCAAAGGAAAAGGTATTCGAGAGACCTAAGCGTGTGTGACAGGATACTATTAAAGTGAGAAGAATGGATTTAACTGGCCTAGAATAAACCCAATTGTAGTGTTTTTTTCTTAAATCTGTGGTGAACAAAACACTGCTGCCGCTGTGAAGGGGTGGAGGGGGAATATATTTTCATTGACACCATTAAATCTAAAAGACATTCAGAGTCAAATTATCAGAAGAAAAGTCGTTCGAAGAATGTGAAGGTGCCCACATGCTAACCCTGTTTAAAGATTCAGAATAAATTACACTGTTCAATGCATTGTCATGACAACAGTTCGGCTTGATGTCTAGGTTACGTCCGTGCGTATATCAATAGTGCCGAGGTACGGTTAGACTTGAACCAGCATCGATAGGCAAATCTGCACGGAGGCAGCGAGTACATATGCGGTGCTATTGTTGTGATAACAGTCCAAGTCAGTTCGTCCGTCCGGAGCATTTACGATCCAAGATAATTTAATAGCTTCCTGCGTGGCTTTTTTCTAGTAAAATGATGGCTCCACAACCTCATTATCTAAAAGGAGATACAAAGTTCGCATAACAGCACAGGTCCTACTGCACAATTCCAGGAGGAGGTGGAGGAGTAGGTGGAGATGGAGGATGAGGTGGAGGAGGAAGTGGAGGAGGATGTGGAGGCGGTAGAGGAGGTGGAGGCGGAGGAGGTGGTGGAGGAGGAGGTGGTGGAGGAGTAGGTGGAGATGGAGGATGAGGTGGAGGAGGCGGTGGAGGAGGTGGCGGTGGAGGAGGTGGAGGAGGAGGTGGAGGAGGCGGTGGAGGAGGTGGAGGTGGTGGAGGAGGTGGAGGTGGTGGAGGAGGAGAAGCAGAAAAAGAGTGAGAAACAAACCAAAACGTTCTTTACCTGCTTCTGTAACTTGTAAGGATTTCGATACATTAATCACTGGCTATACTTATTTCTATATTTATTCAGTGCTTCCCGCTTTCTTAGTCGAGCCTGACGCAAATAGAGGCACGCAACTGGAGCCCAAAGGTCGCTCTTGGAGTGCAATTTCTAGGCAGTGCCTTCATTCTTGGTTCACTTCGACAAATTTGCAGCTGCAGTAGTGGACACCGGACCATGTAAGGTTACGCAATGTCGCAACACACGTTTAGAAAGTGTGTGTACTATGAAACAGATGAAGAATTAGGACTACAAAATTACAGGTGTTGTGCAAGATCCTGATGCTTTACCGTTGACCAGGGCGAGGGTCAATCCTGGAAGCAGAAACATCTCCTTCTGCAAGATGGTTATAACTTTCATTTCCAATGAAATGCAGATTCGTCCATTACTTCACCCAGCTATACCCACAACGCGAGGACGTCAGAGGAATAGACACGCAATACTTCAACAGAACATCGTCGGATGTAATGACTGGCAGTCCTGTTTCGTATTCACACAAGTCCCGAACACTAATCTCCGTCATGAAACTGGATCCACTAATATCACATTCTAAAAATAAGTGTATTTACATTATATACGCCTCACTAAATAAAAATCTCCGTGATTTCAGTCCGCAAGCGAATTATACCTGACCGCCTCTATGGTCTAGTGGTCAGCGTTCCTGGCTACAGATCCATAGGTCCGGGTTCGATTCCCGGTGCTACCATATTTTTTTTCTGAGAAGTAGTGGGTGTGGAACGGGGTGCACTCAGCCTCGTGATGATAATTGAGGAGCTCTGTTAAGGAAATAGCGGCTCCGGTCTAGAAAACCGAAATTAACGGCCGTGTGGATTCGTTGCGATGACAACGCGACACCCTCTATCCGCAAAAGTTGTCACTAAACTTCGCCGATATGCGGCGGTCGCTCGGTCGGTATATGTCTCACTAAAGGTTTCATTGTTCCAACTATCCTGAGTTATTGTCGTTTTTCTCAGTCCTTCCAGGATAATGCTTCGATAATACGACAGAAGCCGTTCACGGTAGCCGAGCGGTCTAAGGAATGCACTGTCTTCGTTCGCTCGGAGGCCTGCATCGTGGGTTAGAATCCCACTCAGCGCATGGATGTTTGGTGTTTGTGTGTGTGTGTGTTTGCGTGCGCGCGTCTTTTCTGTGTCTGTGTACCGGTAGAGGCCTTCCGACGAGCTGATCACCCGCCCAAGATGTCCTACCGAATGTCTAAGATCTAGTAAACCGAAGTGAAATGGAGAGTTTCATGGAGGTAGGCGAAAGCCAAAATTGGAGCTGTAGCACCAAAGAAAAGAAAAACGTCAGAACTGACCACTAAGTCATCTATCGAGGTCCTTCCGAACCAATATTCACAATCATCCCACAACAGGTCCATTTTAGCGGGCAATACATGAGCAATATTTTACAAAAGCGTGTTACGAGTATTTTGAAGTAACCCAAGACAATTGAGTACTTTCTCACATTGCAGAGGGTACAGACACTGCGGTAAGTACGTCTCTACTCAGCAGTCACAACAGCGTCTTTGCCGTAAAAAGAACGCGGAAACAACGCGCATTCTATTCTGCCTGTAACACGAAGTCCTGGAATGAAATAAATTATCTTTACAAATTGGAAGGCTAAGATTAAAGAATAATCATGTCTTCCAAAGCTAGAACATCCCATTACTTCATGAACTACGCGGCGTTCTGTTTTCATTTGAAAAATAAACGAGTTTTCTTAGCAGGGAGAACTGAAATTGACTATGGATGTCAGTTTTCAACACATTTTTCCAGTTGCTGCACCTCACTAATGATAAACTACAAGTGAAATTGTACAACTCTGGCCAAAACTTTATATTATTCCCAGATTTATCAAACACATCTTTTTACAAACTAGCTCTGCCTTCACGATGGGGGGTACGCAGTAGCGTAGTTGGTTGAGGCACTACGCTGCAAGCCGGAAGGTCGCGGGATCGAATTCGTATGGGTCATGGAATTTTTCAATTGATCTGATCCTTCCAGCCGCACTATGGCCCTGGGGTAGACTCAGCCTCTAACAGAAATGAGTACCAGGAACTTTCCTGGGGGGTAAAGGGCGGCCGGCGCGTAAGACTTACAACCTTACCGCCATCTGTGAGCCGATTGTCTAGACAATGTGGGAGCCTCGAACTCTCACACCCCTATGGGCCTTCACGGTCTGTGTACACGGAGAACTTGACCTTTTACCGCTATCCCCCCCCCCAAAAAAAACGTCACTCTTGTCTTCCCTGTACTTAATTATGCATCATTCCGCGATTATGAGCGACGATATAGCTCAATACGTTCCTAATCCCGACACTAGATGGAGGTGAGTGGTCAGGTTTACCCCCAGAGAAACCCCTAGGGCCCGATGCATAAGAGACTGAGTGGGCCCCAGGGACGACCTGAACGCGGTACAGAAACCAAAAATTTCTTGCGTCTATGGGAAACCCATCAGTGGCAATCTAAATACAGCTCTGTGACAGTCTGCTAATTTCAGCATGTTCAAAGACTACAAATCTAAGCAAAACCAAATCAGTTTAATTTGGTCTGTATATTTTTACATGGGAGAAACTCTAAATAAGATATATGAAGTCATCACGATGGTGAGCATCCTTACTTTCGTTCCCTAGGCAAAAACTGCGCAGCCTAACAGTGGTTACCAACGCTTCGGAAGGAAAATACTGCCCACAGTTTCAGAGTGGAAGAGAGAAATATCGTTCAAAAGCACCAAGGGGAAGGAGACTGTGATACACGATATACTGTCACGTGACTGAGTGACTATAGACGGGGGTTAGGTTGGTAATTAAATTTACTGGACTCTTATGACTCGTGAGTACAAGTAATTATAACCGTTTAACAAGCTCACATATTTTACAATTCACTAAAGCATGCAATGACCTTCTGAATCTGCTGTGTCTTCAGCAGTTGTCTAGCAACGGCTTCCAACGCTGTAGATCCCTCAGCTTCCGCGTTCTGGAGCCTATCTCACAACTAGACTAGGGGTTGCTACGGAACGGCTTACAACAATGTGGGTGACTTCCTCTGACGACCTCCGATGGGTTTATTTCCCAACTGCTAGGTGTTGATTACTCGTCTGACTCGCTTCAAAGTCAAAGTCACGTTACGACCAAAGGCAAGTCTGCCAGTCAGTCTTGGTGTCAAGCACCACATGGGACCCAAGACAAATTTTTTGTTACTGTCAAAAAGTTGCGGTTTTTCCGATGTGAAGCCCCCTCTCCGATAACAGGAAGGATCTGTCACTCACAGCGGTCAAAATAAGTAGTACATATCATCTATATTTACAATTTTACATATCGGCATTTTACATAGTCAGTCAGTTGTCAAGAGTCCTTGAGAGTCAGAGTTTGTTTGCGACTGGCAGTTTACCGCCAATCGCTTCGTCTTGGCGCCCAGCCCCTTGAGGA